TTGAAGACATAGGGGTAGGTATAGAATTCATGAACAGGAATCAAACCACACGGGAACTACTTCCCAGAATCAATAGCTGGGATCATGCCTTATTAAAAAGTTTCTGCATGTCAAAAGAAATCTCCAGTATAAGTGAAAAGAAATCCACAAACTGAGGAAAAATCTTAGCGAACTGTCCCTCAGACAAAAGTCTTCTTTCTAAAACATATAAAGAATTAAAAAAAAAAAATCAGACCCCCGAAATTCAAGGACTCAACCCAAAAATGGGTATCTGAGATGAATATACAGTGCTCAGATGAGGAAATATAAATGGCAAATAAACACATGAAAAAATGTTCATCATCATTAGTCATTAGAGACATGGAAATTAAAGCAACACTGAGATTCCATCTCACTCCAGAAAAAAATGGCCAAGATCAAGAAAACCACCAACAACAAAGGCTGGAGCAGCTGTGGGGAAAAAGGAACTCTCCTGCACTGCTGGTGGGAGTGTGGACTGGTGCAACCATTGTGGTGGTCAATTTGGAGATTTCTCAGATAACTTGGATTGGAAGTCTTGTTTGACCCAGCTATTCCACTTCTGGAATATTCCCAGAAGAACTGAAAGCATCATACCACAGTGATATGTGCACCCATGTTTATAGCTTTGTAATAGCCAGATCTTGGAAGCAACCTACATGTCCATCAACTGAGGAATGGATAAAAAAGTTGTGGTAATTTTAAACAATGGAGTACTACTCAGCTATAAAGAATGATCACATTGAGATATTTATAAATAAATGGGTGCAACTTGAGACCATACTCATAAATGAAATAAATCAAACTCACATGTATAAATACGGTATAGTCTCCCGAGTGTAAGAAATGGTAATCATAATTCCCCATACATTGCTTTGAAGCCTTATACTGATTGCATTCATTAGTTGGAAGGGGTTTATACCGGTTTGTTGGATTTTATTATCTGTGATGATATGAACAGCTATTTTGAAGAAAACAAGTGATTATAACAGCCATTGCTGATTTAATAGCAACTTACTCTGAAGTCCTACCATGCTTTTGTCCTTCTGTTTCCATTGGTTCTATCATGTTGTATCTTATTGGATTGTATTATGTGTGATAGTATAAACAAATTTTCTATGGAAAATGGGAATAGAGTAGCCATTATTCATTTTCTGTTACTTGGTTCTGATGCCCTGTAATACTTTCATTCTCTTGAATGGTTTTATACTATTTTTTTATGTTTGATACTCTTGTATATGAACTTATGCTCAACTATTTCAAAGAAAGAGACATTATGGTAGTTACGTTAATTACGGATTGTCTCCTGGTCAAATACTGTGTTGCTTACATTGTTCTGTTCTGATCTGATTTGTTATGTCCTGTTTTGTGTTAATCTATTTAAAATAAAAAAATAAAAAAAGAGTATCATATCATCAGAAAGACATACATGCAAGGTCCATGAGTTTTTACTTTAAAATATATTTATTAATAGTTTTGATAGGAATAGTGTATTGTCTGGGAATATTGGACATTACTCAATTGTGAGTTAAATACTTGTGCAGATTTTATTATACTAATCATTGACATGATTATTCATATTGCTTTACAATTTATTGATCCTCCTGCTGATGGGTACTTCATTGTTGATATACTATAAAAATACTGCCATGAATTACTACATCTTTATATAACTTTGATGAATGTATATATATATATATATATATATATATATATATATGGAGAACCAAAAAATGTATATATCAAGCAAAGGAAAACATATAAATATTTTAATATTAAATTTATTGAGACATCATGGATTAATACAAGCTCCCTTTGATTTCAACGATTACAAGGGGTGCTCCAGGAGGTGGTCATCAGCTTCCAGACTGTTTGTCAGTACAACAAACTGCTGAAGTATGTACACATTTTGCTGACAGGAATATATATTTTTTTTCCTAATTAAGTGGTTGTACTAATTAATTCTCACTAAGTCATTCAGCTCTCATATATTTATCAACACTGTGTAGTGTTTTTTTTTCCTTTTATTTTTTCTAATAGCTGTGTGATGACAGCATTAGGATTTTAATTGCTATTTGTCTAGTTCCTAATGTTTTGAGTATATTTTCAAGTATATTTATTGTGTGATTTCCATTACTGTGACAAAATATTTGAGAAAATAAATTTTAACAAGAAACGATTTATTTCCGATCATAATTTTAGAGGTTCAACTGGCCCCCTTAATGAGGGGGAGCATTATGGTAGAAGGGGGTGGTGGGGAAAGCTGCTCATCAACTGTGGCCCTGAAGGACAGAGAGAAGAAAGGGAAGAGGGAGAGAAAGAGAGACAGGTTGAGGGCAAGACACAGTCCCCCAAGGTCACGTCACAGTGACCCACTTCTTTCCACTAGGCCTTACCACGATTTCCATGTCTGCCCAATAACACAATTAAATTAGGAGTCCCTCAATGGATTAACTCTTTGATGAAGTTAGAGTTCTTATGATCTAATTACCTTCCAAAAACTCCACCTCTGAACATGAGTCTTTGGGGAGACATTTTAGACATAAACATTTATTGACCTTCTATGTATCATCTTTTGTGAAGGCTCGTATTGTTTTCTTTTATTGATTTGTAGCTTCTTAAATGTTCTGGGAAAATGTTATGTTTTGTTAAGTAATAAATAATTTTATAGGGTGGCTTGCATTTAATAGCTTTAAAAAGGAATAATTTATATTCCATACAATTTGTCCTTTATAAATGTGCATTTCAATGAATTTTAGTATATTTTGCAACTGTGTAAGCATTCCCATGGTTCAGTTATAAAATCTTTCCTTTGTCTCAAAAGTTTCCTTCTGTTTGGTTGTGTCAATCTATGCTCTAACCTTCATCAACTGACACCACTGGTCCGTGTCAGGCCCTGAGTGTTGCATTTTTAGTGAAGTGAGGGCTTTCTCAGTGAATGTTACTGACTCCCAGGTTAAAGGTAAGCCTCGGACCTGGGGCTGTTAACTGCAGAATCATCTGTTCTCATGTGAAGGGTAGTGAAATTTCTTTTCCATGGCCACAATGGATATTGCTGTGGGGGTACAAATGTCCCTCTTTACCATCCTGAGAAAATTTACTTACATTCTGAAAGACTGCAGAAGGTTAGGGAACAAAGGTTTCTCTTTCTCTTTCATAAAGAGAAGAAGGAAAAAAGCATTGTTCTATTTCCATATAAAATTCCAAATTTTGAAATGCATTATTTCAGGGTTCTTCTATTGTGTGTTATGAGTCTTAAACTTGCCTACAGGACTCAGTTGAATTTTTACCCTGCCCTAATTTTGCTTATCTCTGAGGACAGAATGCCACAGGCCCTAAACTCCTCTTCAGGTGTGATCTAAGAGGGCTGCCAGAGTGAAGCCACACAACCTCTTCCTTCATTAAATTCTACCTGAATGCTACATGGCACATTCCCAGCACTATGACAATTGACAGTTACCCGGACAATGACTGAAAAGAACCTTAGAATGATCAGAAAGAAGTGTTACCCAAATTCCTGGGGAAATCTTCATCTGTCCCCAGTGGAGACATAACCATACTTCTTCTTTATTAGTCTATCCCTCCTTAAGTTCTTTTACCCCATATGTAAAACCTCCTGATCCCCAAGGGCAAAAGTTTATTTGTGACTTTGCCTCCCACTTCTGGGTCAAGAATAAAAGTTATCTTTGCTGCTTGGTTGGTGTTTTGTCTTATTGGATTCTCAATTACAGGACAGCAAAAAGATCTAGTCTACGGCCAAACACTGGTAGTAATAAGAATCCTGCACTTTGAAGTCCTATACATGTGGTTTTACCAATGGTCCCACCTGTGGGACTCTGGTGTAGTTTTTTCTGTCAGTAATGACAAAGTCTGAATGTCCTCCAAAAATTAAGGAGGGCTTTATAATGTATGCCATTCCCTACCTAGTAGGTGCTACAGGGAAATTTTAATCAGGAAACATTAAAAAAAATCCTTTGTAATCAATTGTTCTGTAGCTCAAAAGACTTGTTCTTGGTCTTTGGACATTTCTCCAAGTCCACTGAATTCCCCTGAGCATCATTCACACTTGCCCTTAAAGCCATCTACATTTCCCTTTTGCCCAGATAGAAAACTAGTATACAGGCTTCGGAGTGGGCAGTCACACTTTGATTGCTTTGTGCATTTAATAGATTTGTATATCTTTCCTCCTGTTCAATCGATTGCAAGCTCATTCCAGCAAACCTTCACTTGAGGAAGGGAATCCTTTTCTTTTGTCTCTATACATGGTTATAAAAATAAGTCCTTACAGTTGCTCAGTTTTAGATTAGGTGAAGATATTATTCATTCACAATTCTCAATGGATGGTGTGAGTTTAATTCTTAAAGTATTGATTTCGGGAGGATTATTATGATATAAATTACACTGAAAATTCTTTTTTGAATTTTTCTTCTTAAAGACCAATTTTATTTTTATTCAGTCTGTGAGATTGGATGCTCCCAACTCATAATTATCAACTGAAAGACTTCTGCAGACAGTGAATAGGTAAGTATTTCTAGTAGGTCTGTGTTATTTCCTTGTTTCAATTATTGAGATAGATTTTCTCTAAGATTATATGTCAACGGGCCAAAGATGTTATAAGATTGCAGTAAATTGGAGAGTAAGGAAATTTCAAATTAGAGAAGCAAAATCAAGTTAGATAAATAGATTCAATTCTGCCTAATTCCAAAAGACAACATGTTGGTGCTGTGTTGTCTATAGTATTGTGGCCAGCTAATGAAACAATCACCTTAATACAGATGTCACAACCAACAAAATGCTTAAAGGGAAATATATTTTTATTTATTTTTTGGGAGTACCAGGACTCGAACGCAGAGCCTTGTACTTGCCAGCAGGTACTTATGCCTCTGAGCTATATCCCTGGCCCTGAGAAATACAATTTTAAAAAGCAAAATTCCTGGTCTTCAGAACTGGAGAGGTTTGTAATAAAATAGAAACAGGAAAGATATAGTCCACTTAGTTTCATAATTTTACAAATACATGCAGGTTTATTTGCTAATTATATTTTTTCTTTCACATATGGTACAAAAAAATTAATCACGATTTAAGGCTCCAGCTTTGATTTCTAGAAACTCTCATTAAGCCAATGTATTCTGTGATATTCAAAGTAGGTTAGAACAAATAAATCTACCATTAGATAAAAAGTTATATAGATAAAATCTGCTGTTGATTTTTTGTTGCTTTTGCTGTAACACTGTGTTCTCTCAAACTTATAGTGCTAGAAAATTGTGCATTTTACATCATTGCTGTTATTATGATGAACAATCATGGAGAAGCATTCTGTCCCTAAAGAAGGTGCCTCGAACACTTTATATTATTTCCTGAGTAAAACAGAATTATTTCTATTTCACCATTGAAACCACTACACAAGAAATGAATAAAATCTAAGGCATTATACATAGCTGAATATATGGATACATGTAATTTTACTTATTAAAATTATATAAATATGAGGAAAGAAAGTTCAAAAGAAAGTTATGAGCAAGACATTATCTTAGATTCTGGCAGTGCAGACGTGAATACAACAGCTCTTTGTACTTTGTGGGGAGGACCCAGTAAAGACATGTAAACAAAATATGAAATGTAGTCCATGGTGAAAGCTCTATGTATATCAGGTAGTGGCGGTGGGAGGGCAGAGAGTGGAAATGTTTTGCTGTTTGATTCATGGAGTGATTTCCCCGGAGGACGTACCCTGTCTAACACTGCTGCTTATTACGTTATTACAACCCTGTGAGTGTCTTTTCAAGTGGCACTTAACAAATGCTGAACCAGTGGACGGGAAAACTTGGTGCCATGGAAATCCTCCCTTTAGCCTGATGTACTCTTTCCTCATAATATTTTACTTAGAATGTAACTCACTTTTTATTTAGTTTGCTGGTGATCATCTGTCTCATCGAGCTAGAAAGTAACCTGCACCAAGGCTGATTATATTTTGTTCTTTCATACACTCAGAGCACTGTTTCTTGAAGAGAGTGAGGATTTAGTAAACAGTTGCTGAATGAAGAAATGAATTGTATGATATAATTTTCCCTAAGAGGAAACGATGTAGTTACTGACTTACAAAATACGAATTTTTTTTGCTGCTCTTAGTAAGTCAGCTTTTTTTCTGCCAACAACACACATTCTGACTGCGCCATTTGTGTGCCATAAATAAACATTTAGAAAGCTAATCCTGATTACAAATTCTGATACTTTGGAAAATCAAATATTAAAGTATATTAACTGTATAATTATTAACTACCAGTGATCCAACTTCCGTATTCTTAAGATTTTTAAAGGGGTTCTAGCCAAGAAAATTATAATATTCATAAATTTTTAGAAAGTGAGGAATGAATAAGTAAATATAGATGAAATAATTTTTCTAATTAGACTTGATAGATTAGTGGTAGATGTTTTCACTTGCTGAACGATGGTATAAATGTGGTTTCTGTTTTTAGTTGAAGAAACTATTTTTGTCCTTTCTCATAAGCACATTTACCAATTGTTTTCTGATAAATATGGCAGGGGTTTCTTTTGATATATTAGGAAAAGGTAAGATAAGAACCCTAAAAATGGTATAGTTTATACTTGAAGCACAGACACAAGCATTGGAATGGTGCAGTTTAGCAGAAGGAAATCAGAGAATAAATGTCTAATAGGAAATGCCATTGCTGATTAGGATATAAAGTCAAGCACATAGTGTTTTTCTTCTGGACCATCTTGAAATACTCAGTAATTTTCTGATAGCATTTTGGAAACATTTTTTGTTTATTATTTATGCATGGCTATTTTATTAGATTTTAGTTTCTTAAGAACAAGGCGGTGAGACTTAAATCACAATCCACCCTGAGTTGTGTATAGGTGAAAGACATGCTTTTAAAACAGTGAACAATATTCTTAAAGCTATTTCTAGATAGAAAGCATTATACTGATTTATTTCCACTGAGAAAATTATGGTCATTTATAGAAATCTTAAAAATCCCATTATAATAGGTAAAACTTGCAGCATTCTGAAGTGAAATTAGAATTAATTTTCATAAATTTAATTTGCCTGTCTGCCTTGTGTCTTACAATATTATATATTTACACTAACAATTTTCAGCATTTTCCTTAGAATTCTATTCCAATGCAATGAGCTACAGAAAATTTTATTATGAGATAAATTAGAAAACAGTGTATAGAGTTTTCCTTCTGTCAGAGTTGTAATGACAACCAAGATTTAAAAAGTCTAAGAAAGACTGAATTGAAATGAGGCCTTTAACTTTGCTTAGAACATTTCTGATGCTTATTTTCCTTCAGAACTCTTTTTTTAGTGTAATGGCGAGTCTACTTTTTATACTTTATATCATATATTCGTGTTACAGCATTATTTAATGTAATCAAGAATGGAAAACCAGACAGCACATTTTCTTATCAGAGTTGTATCTTTACAGACCACAACCCTTGCTGTCTCTAAGTATGTTTGAGAATACTCTATGTTCAGAGCACTAATCGAAGAAAAGCCCATGGCCTGAACTTGCAGTTATGCTCATTGATGGCCCATGATAAACTATCTTATAGATTTTCCTTTAATCCTCCTCGTGGTGTCTGCATGTGTGAGTTCCACATAGATTTGAACAGCTTCACACAGGACTGACATCCTCCACATCCACCATCTATCACAGTGAAGCCATTATAAGTGTTATTAGACTTATTCTTGATGCAGTACCCAGGTAGAAGCATCTCTTGTTTGTAAAAATCCCTATTTTATTACTGTGCTAGGAACCCATACCTTCAATTATCTATTTGTCAACACAATTACTTGTTGAAATAAATAGTATAGCTTTATCTAGAAATTTAGAAGCTAAATCAGTAAAGCCACACTGGATTTGCTGGTGCCATAAAATAGATCATTTTAATAATTAATATACATAAATAGTTTATGGTAGAAACAATAAAGTTGTATCAACTCTGCACAAACACTAAATTTCCAAGTAATCTGTAAGGAATATATTTATACTATTACATTCAAAATAATAGTTGAACAATGATAATCATTCTTCTGAATAATTTTCTTTTTATATTCTATAAATTTATTCACTATTACAGTAACTTATGGTATTACAGTGCTTGATAATCTTAAAGAAATGAAATAAAGTTCTTGTAATTGTATGTAGAAAATAAAAATAGAATAAAGTCACTTGGGTAACTTTTATGAAAACAAAATACTTTTTCCAAAAAAATAAATTATATATTTTATACTGAAATGTGACTTTATTAAAGTGTTTAGAAAGTTACATTCCTTTTTGGCAGTAGGCGTGAGCATGCTTAATTTCCTCTCCCTCGCGCGTGATAAAATGAGGTGAAAATTGCTCACATGTGAGAGAAACAGCATATTTTCATCAGAAAGGAAATGATACATGAAATAGAAATAATTTAAAAACCCAAGTGTCAGGCAAGAGATACAAAAATTCACAGAGAAGAAAATATTTTTCAAGGCCATTGAGGTGATGCAACCTGTGACGACATCAAGGGTAGTTTTCACTCCTGGGACCCTGTTATGTCTATCAAACTGGTGACCGTGGGTATCTCCAGCCTCCTGAGCGTGGCTTCCAGAAGGAGCACCTTTGGCACCAAGCAGTGCCGTTTCCATGTGGCAGCCAGGTGGCCCATGCCTGTGACATGAATACAAGCCTGATGCTTATGGCAGCGATATTTCTGAGCCAAATTTGCTGGTTTGCCTGACAGATGACAGACTGGATTTTTATGCTAAACTAACTAAAAGTACTTAACATGGACTTAACCAAGAGGAAGACCTGAATGGCTGTCTGGGGATGAGCGTCCTTTGGGCTGTTTCTTCTTCTTGGTTTTACTTTTCTTTTTCTTTTTCTCAGCTTTATTCTTGCTTGCTTTCTTTTTCTTGTGTTCCTCTTTGTACCATGGGCCCCAGACTCCTCCGTTGAGCCGAGGGTTACTCCTGGGGTCTTTGGGTGGGTATCTGACGGGCACTGCGGTCTTGTTGAACTGGGAGAGCCTCTTCAGGAGCTTCTTCACAATGCCTGGGTACCTGCTGGAGAGGTCCACCCTCTCGTAAGGGTCAGCTGTTATGTTGAAAAGCCATATGCTCTTGCCAGTTGACAAAGTAATCCGTTCATTGTGCCACCTGTTTGGCCCCAGGTTGCTGAAAGCCTGCGGGGGAACCCAGTCGCTGTAGCCAGGGTTACCTGTGAGCAGCTTCCAGTGCTGAACCCTGATGGCTGACTGGATGGCTGTGTTCCAGATGCCATAGCCAGCTGCCCAGGAGCCATTTTTTGCCTTGGTATAAATGGGATCGATGTTGTGCAAAATATCCACTCGGGGCGAACGAAAGCCTTCGCTGATGGTCTCCCAGACATCATAACCATCGAGTTGAGTGTGTTCATCAATCTGGCCTTCAGCCAGCGAGATCAGGGTGGGGTACCAGTCAGTGATGTGCACAAGTTCTTTACACACTGTTCCCTTGTTTTTCAGGAGTGGGCTGTGCACAAAGCCAACAGCCCTGATCCCCCCTTCCCAGTAGGTTCCTTTGCTGCCTCTGAGAGGCCAGTTGCTTCCTCCAGCAGTGGGCTGGCCACCATTATCTGATGAGTAAATGATAATGCTGTTGTTGTAGAATCCATAAGCTTTCAGGGCCAGAGTCACATTGTGGATTGCTTCGTCCAAGCAGGAAAGCATGGCAGCGTATCGGCGGCGGTTTATGTTGATAATGGATCGGTAGTGTTCAAAGTACCTGCCTGGGGCTTGCAGTGGAGAGTGGACAGCTTGGTAGGCAATATATAAAAATATAGGCTTTGTGGGGTTATGGGAGGCCAGTATTTGCTGCACTCTCTGTGTGTACATCTGTGTGGAGTATATGCCATTGTCGTGGTCCCAGGCAGCATTGTCATTCTCATACAAGTCATAGCCACACATGCCAGGACTGTCACATTTGTAGTGTGTATAATAATCACCACTTCCCAAAAGGGAACCAAAAAAGGTGTCGAATCCTCTCTTGGTGGGCATGCATTCTTTCTTGTAAAACCCCAAATGCCATTTTCCCACCATATGCGTTGAATATCCAACCTCCTTCAGCTTCTGAGGTAGGGTTGCGTTGTCCAGAGGTAAACAGTTGGGTTGGGTAGGTCTTATGATGGAATGTTGAAGGCCTGTGTGTATCTGATACCTTGAAAAAAGAACAAAAATGTTTTCAAAGATATGTCAAAGAGATATTCCATGGACAACAATGATTCCTGAATACATAAATGTACAAATTTTTAGATGGGTCTCTGTCCCTTTTTTAGGATGTGTTAAAAGTTACTAATTGGAGTTAAGGGTATTCATTTTTGAGTGGGTAGCCTGCATATAATGTTAGGGACAGAAAGAGTCTTGTTTGTCCTTTGTTGCTTTTGCTGCCTGGTGGGTGCTATGCACTATTTTCCGTGAAGTCACCTGCCTTACACCAGCCAATTATGGACTGAAACCTCTACAAACTGTGCACTAAATAAACTTTTCCCCCTTTACCTTTAGGGTTGAGCATCTTGCCCCAGCATCGAGGAAAGTGACTAAGATAACCCCAAATGATGTATGACCTACCAGCATTTTCCCTTTGACTCAGAAGTTGTACTTTAATTAGCTTCAATTTAGTGTTTGAAATTCATTTGATTCATTTGATTCTAAATGAATATTTTTGGAGCTAAGGTTTTCGTATTCATCTCAAAGTCCTTATAACAGAATGTATTCAAATAAATTTTAGTGTCTTAATTCTGTGACCCTCAACTAACAAGATCAGAGAAAGGCTATATGGAATTGGAGTATTATTATTTTCAGTGAGGACCTCATGTTAGTTTCTAAATCATTTCCTGAGACATTTATTTCAAATTAACTCTTAAGTATTTAAAACACATACACAAATCTCCTGGTTTATCATTAAACAATATTTCATACTTAGTGCCTAAACTTTTAGATCTCTGAGAGGATAAACAGAAGCATTCTGGCTACATAATACTTATAGTTAAAAGTCATTTTAGAGTACATGTTACAGCTTGTGCTGAGAATTACATGTTTTCTTTAATTACAGGAAATGAATCCTTATGTTTATTTCCCACACTGTTTCCTCTGTCCCTTACTTTTATTATAGTCCCTTATAATCTAATCTAAGAAAACATGGTGACTTTTCTATATGTTGAGTGAACTTTAACTTTTAGCATTGTTTTTTCCAGAGACATTTTTCCAAGGTTTTTTTTTCCCCGCCAGAAGTTGGTTACTAATACATAAATGTACTAATTTTTTAGATGGGAACTATGTCCCTTTTTAGGATATGTTAGAAGTTACTAATTGGAATTAATGTTAACCCAAAAAGATTTAAAATAAGTAAAAACTGTAAATGCAGAAAGAATGTTATAGAAAATTGTAAGCGTAAAGAGAGATATTCTTGCAATCAAATTACTAAGAGTAATATTAAAGTAAAAAAAACCAAAACGTTTTTCGACAGTGACTTAACTTGAATGGCCAACATACTATACATACTTTGGGTCAATGGCTCAATGTATTTTTAAGTGTTCAAATGATAATGCAGTGCAAATGTGAGTTCTTTAGGAGTGTCCATAGTAGATAGAGTCTGGTAGCTTTGTGGGAACTGTGATGAAAATTGGTCACTATTTGCAAACCTACATTCATATGTGCCCTGTTTATGCCACTGATCATTAGCAGTCATGCTTTCTTAATAATTACAGTTTTGCAATTTAAAGTGTAATAAACTCACAAAGAAATAGACTTCACAAGCATCTTTAAGCACCAGATTTGGAAGGCACTGTTATTATCTTTGGTAATTTTCTTTTTCTTTTTTTTTTCTCTCATTCTTTTGCCATGCAGTTCAAGCTGGCCTTAAACTCACAGCTATCCTCCTGCCTCAGCCTTCTGAATGCTAGATTTATAGGCATGTGCCACCACATCCAACTATTTTTGGTAATTTTAAATTCAGCCTAAGATCTCGAACATTCACTTATGAAAAAATTAATTTTGTACATGGCAAATTTGTAACATCTAGCAAGGAAAACTTGGAGAAATTAATAAGAGAGAAATTTGTATGGGGAAATCTTGGGAAGGGATTCATAGGATGGTTTATTAATTAAATAATTATCGTATGCTGAAAATGTACTTGACTACACTAGCCCTTTGAAAGGCTAAGCAATTCAAGTTTTTCTAATTGAAACAGTTATTATTTTTTTCACCTAAAGATAAAGGTAAAAGGAATTGAAGCTTATGACAAATGTGAAATCCAGGGATGTTTTCAGAAAAAAAAAATAGGAAAAATGAGGTTTGGTGCTTTCAGAAGACGGCACAGTGTTAGTATATAAGTAAGAGATTAGGTGTTTTTTGTTCTGTAAAAAGTAGGGTGTTTTTCATATTGGAAAGGTTGGGCAACAACTCATAACGGGTGAGAGATTTTGAACAGGCTTCTGCTTACATGAATCTGAGCTTCTGTCTGTATGAGAGGGAGTCTGCGGTAGAACTTGGGCAGACATTCAGGGGTCAGGCTTTAGATTCAGACCCGTGTCTGAACTGATCTCCCAGCTACTGCCTGTGTGATTTGGGACAGTCTGTAACTCTTCTGATCCTCAGTTTCATCATCAGTAAACTAAGGGTCATAACACATAGAGGGCTGCCAGGGCAGTGGAAGGGAGCAGAGAATACAGAGAACACAGATTTAAGAAACCAGAGGGGTTTTTTTTTCTATTTTTCCAGAGCACAGACTGGGTGTTGTATAACCTTAATAAATTATAGACATTCTTTCAAATACATTATTGTATTTATTTCTTGCTATTACAGTGGGAAATTATATTTTTATATATTATTTTACAGATGGAAAAATAGAGGGGTTGTATTTTCCCCAACTCCCTCAACCTGGCCCCCTTGGTTGCTACACTGATTGCTGAACAGCAAGGCTATGTCTGATGCTTCTTCTATTAAAAAAAATAAAAACAGTTAATACTAACACTGTCTAAAAAATCAGAGAACAGAAGAAAGAGGCAAAAATTCTTTAGAAGCAAATATGTTCTAATTTCCCAATAAACTGGAAGACGTTGCAAACTGTAATGTGAGGCTTATATTGATCAGAGAAAAAATTGATTATAATTTTTTAAAGTAGATGATTTTTGAGCTGGAGATTTAGCTTAGTGGCACAAGAACCTGCCTAGCTAGTGTGAAGTTGTGAGTTCAATTCCTGGTACAAAAACAATAATAAAAAAGGAAATGATTTATAAGGAATTCAAAAGAAAAAAAGTTAGGCAGAATCAAATCCTGCCAAGTTGGCTTTGTTTTAAAGAATAGGCAGTAAGTAAATAGCTTAGAAATAATAAAAGTATTTATTTAACATAGTCAGCTATTTAACACCCCTAAACACACTTGCTGTTATATCCGTTAGAGCTCTTTTTTTTCCCCTCTCTTTTTTACAACAAAATTGACACATTTTGGATTTTATTACTCCTTAGTTCTTATTACTTTTTTGGGGGGGAGAGAATAAAGTCAAATATGGCAAAACAAAGCTGTCAGTCAAAACCAAGGATAGACATAGCACATGATGTAGAACAGAGTACAAGGTTATCAACAATGGTTATCAACGATGTCTCTTGTTTCCTTAAAAAGAATTGTCTATCTCATTAGATATTATAAAGTTGGACAAAACAGTAGAGAACAAGACCAACAAAACTTAGGCATTGTAAACATTACAGGACTTCCAAAGGACACATTAGTCAAACCAGAATGGGCATCTTAGTGAATCTTATTGCCTTCAAAGTAGTTGCCTATACCCTCAACTTGATACTATCTGACTATATTAATGTTTTTGGATCATTGAACACAGCTTTTTGCAGTCTCTCTGTTTGAATGTCCACTTTGTATTCTTTGATACTGTGATTTGAGCTACTATTTCTAAGATGATAATATGTAATCTATTAACAGGTGATTTCTTACTGTTTTTTTTTTTGTAGTTCTGTATTACGTGTACCCTTACACCGCTTTGTTTTGTTTTGTGTTTTTCTCTTTTTACTTTTAAATAAAATTTAGAAAAAAGAAATAATAAAAGTAGTATGTGAAAACTCTGCCCATGATCTTTATCACATGGTGTAATGCAAAATTAATTGTATTGGCAATAGGAATGGCAATCATATTTTAATGCCACTTGATGTAACAGAAAATTTTCATTTTTGTGTTTTTCTCTGCCTTCTTTAATTCCATGAAGCAGATATGTTCAATGCATCCAAACTGTTATGGTTTATATTTAAACGTCCCCCCAAAGCCTTATGTGCTCATGTGGGAGTGACTGGGTCCTGGGGGCTGATCCTCATCAGTGGATTATCCCACTGATGACTTTAAAGCTAAATGTGATGCTGAGAGGTGAAGTCCAGTCAGAGTAGGTCACCATTGGCATGACCTTCTTCCTCACTGCTTCAGTCTGCTTCCTGTCTGCCATGCATGAGCTGTTTGCTCCCTGTTATGTCCATCTGCCTTGTTTCCTAGTCGTGGGACCTGCCAGCAATGCCCAAAACCACTAAAACACTGTGGGACAAAATAAACTTCCTTCCTTTAATTTGTGGGCATCAGGTATCAGGTACTGTGTCCCAGCAATGCAAAAGTATATAAGATGTAAACCAAAACAAAACAGTTCAAAACACCCTCAGAATAAATACAATGACTTGCCCAAGTTTTATAGTTCACGTCTTGAAGGTTTATTCTAGATTCAGATTTTTAGCTTCGCAGATTCTTTCATATTACACAAATGACTAAATAGACCTATTTAAATTTTGGATTAATTTGCATTAACCTCTGGTATGTATTAACTTGTTCAGTGTTACTACATTCAGAGTGAGTAGTAGGACCCCCCTACCCAAAACCTGACATCACCAGGTGAGCTGTGAGATTCCAGTAGCAATGGGGAGTGTCTCAGAGGCACTACTTCTCTGAGCTGTGGGGTCAGGTAGGAGGGAAACAGTGCCTGACAATCATATATAGTTGAACTACTGGTACTGTTTGTGCCATCGCGCTATAAGAATGCCAAGAATATTCATTTTATTTCAAGAAGAAGCTGGCTGATATAGACAGAAAAGCTTCCTGATGTATTTGGTTTGAGAATGACTTTCACTTGATAGCATCCACTGACTTGATAAATCAAAAAATTATCCAAAA